AACAAGAAATGATAATTCAAGACTATATTAGAAACATGATATTCCAAAAACTTTTGTCGGCTAATTGTATGTTTGACGTCCTTGATCAAAATGACATTTGAAAGAAAAAGTAACACCAACTAATGTATTACAATGAAATAATTAGTTAAGTTAGGTAAAAGTCTGACTGAACTTTAACCACGACATTTTAACTAAAATAATACCAATTTATAATCATCTAATACATTAATATTAATTAATAGCAATACTCAGACTAAATTATGATTTTATTAATACATATAAATGAAGTTTAAAGTTGTAATGTAATAAATAAATAATAAAATAACAATAATAGAAAATAATAAGTTTAAAGATTTTGAGTTTAGTTAATAATCTGTTTAAGTAACACTCTATATATTTATTCTTAAATCTATTTATTTAGCGTGTGTAAATGTGGTTCGATGGAGTTGCCAGGGTCATTTTCTTGCATCCGGAGGCGATGATAAGTTGGTAATGATATGGAAGTTAACTGGTGAAGGAAGCTCGACAATATTCGGCGGAGGCGGGAAAGTTAACATAGAAACATGGAAATGCGTTTTCACATTAAACGCCCACACTGGAGACGTCCTGGATTTAGCTTGGGCTTCTCACGACGGATGGTTAGCTTCCGGTAGTGTGGATAATACTATTATTATTTGGAACGCGCATAAATTTCCCGAAAAAATTGCTGTTTTAAAAGGACATACCGCAATGGTTAAGGTAAATCAAAAAAAAAGTTTTAGCTTTCATTCTTGGGGATGCATATTGTACCAATAACGGAGAGTGAAACCATATGGCTAATAACGTTTATTTGTATATTATAAATTATAAACAAGACGCAAAAATATAACGATATTTATATAAAAATTATATATGGCTGTGTTATTTATATAAAATAACACAGCTTTAAAACATGTGCCAAACGAAGTTTAATAAATACAGAGTTTCAATGTTATAGCATAAAACAAATATATTTTTATTGCTGGGGATTGTATCTACAGACAAGATTTAAATTTAATGACAAAGACATCTGCAATTGATACCACTTCTCATATTTTCGTTTTAAAGTGTTTTTTTCTTATTTTTGTTGATATGAAGTACTATAGCAATATGCAATTTTTTTGTTACTTTGTTATTGAAAAATTAATCTCTACTCTACCTCGTATCGCATATCGATATCCGCCTGAAAAAAATCTAAGTAGAGGAGGCCCGTTTAAAAATTGCGCGACACATTTTATCAACACCAGTCGAGATAACGACTTTGACTGTCAACATTTATGAATTCAAGGACGAACTTTGACTATATAATTTCAGAAAAAATTGCGTATGCAGTACAGACTAAATAATCTGAAACGTACATATTTGATTAGATCAAAAACAATTTTATGTACTTCTATTCACTTTATCATTTAATCCATGTAGTGTGCCATGCACTCTGTTTAAAAACAACTTTTCATGGCACACTTCGTGTGGTGCATGGCACACTACAATCCAAGACTTATACAGTAATACCCCGTAGTTACGCGATAGGTGGGACTGACAGTAGCCGCCTAAATCGAAAATCGTGTAAAAGGATGTAAAAAATGTTATGTACAGGATGGTTCAAATTTGATGTCCGAATAGGCTATCTCAAAAACTATACCAGTTAGGAAAAAAGTAGCTAACATGTCTCGATCTCTTTTTTTAGAAGTAAATAAATTCCAATGTCGAAAACCTCAAAGCGCTATCGTTAAGGTGTGTCCAGACATTGCGCGGCAGCAACGCGCGGCGTTCGTCGGACACAATTCTGCCGCGTGCCAGTTTGGACGTATTCAAATAACGTGTGCGCGGCAGTGCTACGCGGCATATGCGAGTTCGTTAGCAACAGCTGAAACACGATACGCCGCGCGCGTCGTCGTACAGATATCGCGCGCTATTGCCGCGCGCGAATGCCGCGCAATGTCTGGACACACCTTTAGAAAAACCGCGTAAGTACGGGGTCGCGTAAGTCGAGGTTTTACTGTAGTAGGTTTGGCCTACTTATGCAAAGGTATTATTACTGAAACGACAGTTTTTCAACAATACACGTCAACATACGGTCCTTTGCTTTTGAAAGGAAATTTTTCATTAGTCAATACTTACTTTCTGCAAAATCGACAAGTTTTTAAACTTTATAATTTATACCATAGTGTCAACAGAAGTAAAGGCCATAATTTATGACAACTGGTACTCAAGATCAGCTTTATGCAGTGCGTCCGTAAAGTAGGTGATATAGGCGATAAAATCAATATAAACGGTTTATGGAAAAATCAAAATTTAGATAAATTAATATCAAATTATGGATTAAAGTAGCAGTAGCCTAGCCATGAGTAACAATGGTAACCAATTATTTTAAACAATTTCCTAAGTGTCAAAAACTAATTTAATAAAACTTGTAGTTGCATAAAGCAATTATTTAAATCATTATTACATAATTTTTATGTTAATTGTTGTTTATTTGTTTACTGTTTTAATTTCTTTTCGCTGTTAATTTATTAACCCATTAGTGCATGAAAATATTCTTTTGATCAAAACAGAATTTTCCCTTAAAAGGGTTCACTATGCGTAGAATACACTTAATCATATTTGCGTTAATGAAACTTTATTATAACAGAAATACAACAATTTAAAAACATGTAATTATTTACAAAAAAATATTAAGGAATAATAAATATAACTTTTAGTATTATTTAGTATGATAACGTTCAAAACAGTATTTAATATGTATGAAAATATCACACTTTCTACATATGAAATTTGACTTCTTTGTACAATGTTTGTACATCGTCGATCTGTCTCAAAGAAGCGAACCAAATGACCAATCTTATCATAACAGATTGCCAGCAATGGCTCAGATACAGAAGTTTTCTGGGAAGATTAGCTGAATGCTATACAGGTGTCCCGTTAAGTGTACGAAGCGGCTGTATCTCAACAACGGTAAGGCCTAGAGGTTTGGGAAAAAAAATCCTTATAAGCAAAGTGGGCAAGAGAAATAGCTGGAAATTATTTTGAAGTTCGTAATTCGACCGCTAGGGGGCGTAACTGCCATAGAGAAACATAAAATTCCCGNTGTGAAGTAAATAGTATCGTTCCATTTAACTTTTCTTCAAAAATCACAAAAATATGTAATCGCTGCAGATAACGTCCTCTAGCTCATTTGTTTTAAAGCAGACGGTCTTACTGAAAATATCTTTAAAAAGAGCATAAAATGCTCTTTCAAACAACACCGAAAATATTCAAATCGGTTGAATGGTCTAGGAGATATTAAAATGTAAACATATGAAAACGCATTGGCCTCCCCCTCCCTTATTATGACAGATATGAGAAATATCGCAAAACAAAAGCGATGCGGTATTATCCAAGCTATTAAATGATGTTGTCAAAGTTATAGCTCATCGTCTAAGTTTCTGAGATAGCGAGAACTTTATGTTTCTCAATGGCAGTTACGCCCCCTAGCGGTCGAATTACGAACTTCAAAATAATTTCCAGCTATTTCTCTTGGTCACTTTGCTTATAAGGATTTTTTTCCCAAACCTCTAGGCCCTACCGTTCTAGAGATACAGCCGCTCCGTACGCTTAACGGGACACCTGTATATCGCCAAAATGCCAATAATGAAGAACAGTTTATATTACTACTATTAGGTTTGAATTTCTTCATAAGGAGCCACCCATTAACAAATGAAGTGTCTAACAGAAATGAAAAGATTGGCCAGTACCACTTTCTAAACCTCATTCGCGTTGTGCATACTGCAACAAGTTCATCTAATTTATCCACCCCACCCATTCCTTTATTATAGCTTGTTACCATTTCGGGGTGCTCTATGGGACACCCTGTATACATCAAAGCTTACCATATATCCTTCACTTGTACACAGAGACCAAATTTTAAATTCAAATCTCACAGGTTTACCTTTCATGTCTTGCTTCGCGTTATGTTTGCGAGTCCATCATCTTTACTAAAGTTTTCATTAAGTTTTTCAATAAATGGTCTTAGTTTATACAATCTACCTTCAAAATTATTGTGAGTGTTATCGTTGAAGTGTATGTTTCGTAGAATTGTTTCAAATCTATTTAGTCGCATACTATTTTGTACAATTTTTGGCACATCACCTTAGATCTTCCACAGCATTCGTTTGTTCGGGTATTTGACATATCCAGATAGTAACATACCACCTAACACTACATACAATTAATTGATGGTTACATGAATATTATTGTTTGTTTGGTCCAAAATACTATTGATTACAGCATCATCAAAAAATAATTTAAAATAATCCAATGGATCTTCTGTTTGGTCGGCTTCTTTGAAATGTTTCCTGGGGTCGTATGAGACGTTGCAAGAACACAATGGAGTAGTATCTTTATACCAATTGCTCTTCTTTTGCCGCTTTTGATAATTTTGATGTTAAAGAGAGCGTTCTTCTCAAATGTACAAGTGGTAGAAGATCTTCCTGATCAAAATCGTCATCTGATCCATGAAACTCAACATCACATTGTTGCTTTAGGATGCCTTTCGATACATGGGTTATATCACCTCCCTGTTCATCATCACATTTATCAATGTATGTGTTTACGTGATCATTATCCTTATCGACGTTGCTCTTAGACTACTTTTCTCGATGAGGTAACTGGATCTGATTAATGGCACTCGAGTTTTTAACAATTTCTTCTACAGGTGTCTCTCGTAACTGGTTCGTTAGAACTTTTTCAGGTTCCATTAATCGTAGAGATTTGAAATTTTGGTAGCATGGGTTGTTCATTCGAAACTTTCGATCTAAAATATTTTTAAGATGGCCGCCATTTCCGGTCTACCGGAAGTAGACCATAACTTCGTTATTTTAAATGGAATGCTATAGATTTTATTACACCGTTTAATTGTACGTAGAAAAATAGGTTGACTTTGATAAAAGTTATTGGTACCTGGCGTTTTTCGTTTTCGAGTTATTTTGGTTTTAAACTTTTTTTGCTAAGTTTCACCATGCTCTTTAAAACTCCATATCGCAGTCAATGTTCATTGAAAAAAGATCTACGTTGGCACGATTACTCTTCAGATGTTATCAAATAGATTGTCATTTGCTGTATCGGAGTATCTTATACAGGTGGTCAAAAATTGAATTACTGTTTCTCCATATTCAATGGCGAGAAAATCGAAAATTTTAAATGGAATGCCCTATATTTTTTTAGCCTATCAGAAAGAGAATTTAATTTTCTACAAATTATCTATAAACATTCCCATACCTATTTATTGTAGTTTGCCTCATATTGCGAAATTTATTAAAACATGCAAGAAATGCAGGTTTTTTTATTAGAAAGCTATGGAATTTTGACAGTTTTTGGTCCATGTTTGTATTATTGTTGTCATTAGTTACATTTGACGACGGGTGTAAGTCATTGAACATCATGGTAAATTATTCCAACGGCGATATTTGAAATTTATTTTGTATTGATGGCGAATGTAATAAACTTTTGGACAGGACGTGTCGAACACTTAATGAGAGATGCCCAACAAACCTAACGCCCATCACGAGGAAAAATTTCAAAAAATTGATAAAGAATTTATTAGTTCTGGATATATCGAGACCAAAAGAAATCGCATATTTCCGGTCACCAGTGATGAAGACAACGAAATAAATAATTTAACGTATTTTATTGCATTTCCAAATTCAATTTAATAACAAATTTATATTATAAATTTATATTTTTATTCAAATCTAATTTTTGTCATTAACTTTTTGTTTTAATAGTTTCATTTATTTGATCTTCTGTTTGTTATTTTTGGTAAGTAAAAGCTAGTAAACTAAAAGATTATCAATCGTAGTTAATAGTACAAATAATAATAGAAATAAATTAAACAAAAAACTGTCAAAATGTTATGGCCTTCTAATAAAAATACAAACGGTTTCCTGCATTTTCTGCATGTTTTGATAAATTTACGAATATGAGAGAAACTACAATAAATAAGTATAGGAATGTTTATAGATAAATTGTAAAGAATTAAATTCCCTTTCGTGTAGGCTAATAAAATATGGGGTGTTCCATTTAAAATTTTCGACTTTCTCCCCATTGAATATGGAGAAACGGTAATTCAATTTTTGACCACCCCTGTATAAGGTACTCTGAAACAATATATGACAATCTATTTGAGAGCATCTAAAGAGTAATCGTGCCAATGTAGAGCTTTTTTGAATGAACGTTGGCTGGGATATAGGGTTTTAAAGAGCATGGTGAAATTTTCCAAAAAAACTTTAAAGCCGACGTTATACGTAGCAGTCGACTGCTATGGCGGCAACTACGGAGGAGCGTGGTTTGACTGTTTCCGTCAAAATTTGCGTGTAACATGTCTATTACCATAGTTATGGACTGCGAGCAAAGCTAGGACTGCATAGCCCAACCATGACTGCTATGGCGGTAACTACGGAGGGGCGTGGTTTGACTGCTAGCGTCAAATTGGCGTGTAAATCGTCAAATTTACGTGATATACCGAAAGTAGAAAATTTTCTGACCTTGGCAATAGCTTTGTTCGCAGTCCATTACTATGGTAATAGACATGTTACACGTAAATTTTGACGGGAACAGTCAAACCACCCTCTTCCATAGTTGCCGCCATAGCAGTCGACTGCTACGTGTAACGTCGGCTTAAAATCAAAATAACTCGAAAACGAAAAACGCTAGGTACCAATAACTTTTATGAAAGTCAACATATTTTTTTACGTACAATTAAAAGGTGCAATAAAAACTATAGCATTCCATTTAAAATAACGAAGTTATGGTTTACTTCCGGTAGACCGGAAGTGGCAGCCATCTTGAAAATACTTTAGATCGAAAGTTCCGACTGAACAACCCATGCTACCAAAATTTCAAAACTGTGCGAATACTGGAACCTAAAAAATTTCTAACGAACCAGTTACGTGAGACACCCTGTATAAGGTGTCTTTTGTGAGACTTCGAGAATGGATGGAGATATCGAGATGCGTTTTCAATAATATTTAGCAAATTTAATGGTGGCTAAGGGTCTGTGAAGTAAATAGTACCGTTCCATTTTACTTCTTTTCAAAACTAACAAAATTATGTTATCGCTGCAGATAACGCCCTCTAGCTTATTTGTTTCAAACCAAACGGTCTTATTGAAAATATCTTTTAAAAGAGCATAAAATGCTCTTTCAAACAAGACCAAAAATATTCAAATCGGTTGAATGGTCCAGGAGATATTAAAATGTAAACATTTGAAAACGCATTGGCCTCCCCTCCCTTATTATGACAGATATGCGAAATATCACAAAACAAAAGCGATGCGGTATTATCCAAGCTACTAAATGATGTGTACTCTACGGCAGTTACGCCCCCTAGCGGTCGAATTACGAACTTCAAAATAATTTTCAGCTATTTCTCTTGCCCACTTTGCCTATAAGAATTTTTCCCAAACCTCTAGGCCTTATATTGTGTACTTATTTTTGACATACCTTATACTACTAACTATAGTCTGAAAGCGTGAATAAAGGTGATTTGATTTGATTTGACTTACCGTTGTTGAGGTACAGCCGCTCCATACCCTTAACGGGACAGCCTGTATAGCACAAGTTGAGAAATCAACCGGTTTGTAGTTTACACAGTTCGTAAAATACATATGTAGTCTATATACATAATGTTTATTATACATTTGGACTTTAACAACCACCTAACATAAATTTCATATTTATACATACCTTTGCTGCGTTTATTATGTTGTTCAAATTGGCACCAAAACCACACAAATTGCCGTTTTTTTTCTAATATGACGTTTAAGTAACAAATGCGGCCCATAAGTAGCTCAGCAAATGCATAATAGGTGGCACCAATTATCAATGAATTAAATTATAAAATATAATTATGACGTCCCTTTTAAGGGACACTGTGCACTAAGGGGTTAAAATGGTAAATTTGTCCGAAACAATTGAAATTCTGTGTATGACTGGAGTTGGGGATTGAACTCGAACTCAAAAAGAAGTAGTTCAGCTCTTCAATACAACTCATTAGCCAAAGTGGGCATGTACAAGATTTCTCGAAGTCTGGCTGATCAAATGTTTCAGGAGGTTCAACAAAACCATATTGGGTCGAATCTCACTGTTAGTAAATCAACTATGCAACGATTTTGCATCAACGAGGAAGACTTCGACAAAAACATAATTATTTCCGATGAGGCAACATTTACATTGAGTAGACAAGTAAATCGAAAAAATTGTGGGTATTGGGCTACCCAAAATCCAAAGATCAATACTATTTGGTGCAGAAGAGTACCGAATGCTAACCTGGGCTTTTACTTTTTTGATGAAACTGTAACTGGAGGGGGAGATATTTAGATTTTTTACAAAACGATCTCATTCTGTCCATATCGGCCAGATTTCCCGATAATGTTGACCCAACTCAATTCCAACGACAGTTATTTCTCGAATAGGACGGCGTCACCACATTATGCCGTCTTGTTCGAGCTTATTTAAACCAATTATTTCCCAATCGATGGATTGGGAGAATATGGCAGATTTTATTCTGCTGGACTTCTTTTGGTGATATCTGAAGGAAGAAGTATATCTGAAGTTTACACCACTAGACTAAATACTTTGGATGAACTAATAATCAGAATACGAGAAAAAATTCAGAAAAATCGAAGAATACAAAAATCGTTTAAGTTACTGTCAAGCTGAGTTAATTTTAATTTTTTATTCATTCAATTAATTTATTCATTTCATTTGTTATTTATTATTAAAACGATTGTTACTCATGGCTATGGCTATTTTATTGCTATATGAAATAAATTTCTGAAATAACTCGTTTAAAAATAATGGAAAAAATTTTACATCTACATTAATTAACTATACAAAACTTAAATCTTTAGACCCGTTTCAGGGACTTATCCATAAACTGTATATAATGATTTTATCCCCTATAACTAATTGTAAGTGAAAAATAATAATTCGCCAAGATGTATTCTAAATGGAAAGATCAAGCCGTGCAACCTCTCTCAATTTTAATTTATGAATTTCAAAGACATACCAAAAAGTTCTTAAACGCCACTTGTATGGAAGACCCTGTATAAAGGAATTTAAATAACAAAAAACTGATTTTTCGTTTATAAATATATTTTGAACTTTCTTTATGAATATTAAAATTATTTGATAAATAATACATTTGTTTTTATTTAGGGAGTGACATGGGATCCGGTTGGAAAATATATAGCAAGCCAATCTGATGACAAAACATTAAGAGTTTGGAGGACCGCAGATTGGACTCAACAAGAAATTGTTTCTGATGCCTTTGCAGAGTGTTCAGCGACAACCCACGTTTTAAGACTTTCTTGGTCACCTGACGGGCAGTATTTGGTATCAGCGCACGCAATGAATGGAGGTGGACCAACAGCGCAAATTATAGAACGGGATGGTTGGAAACAAGACAAAGATTTTGTTGGACATAGAAAAGCTGTTACCTGTGTGGTAAAGGACTTTTATTTGAAAAAATTCATAAAATTTTCATATTTATTGTAGAGATTTAATTCAAATATATTAAAAAAATTTTCTCCTGGAAGTCCAAAACCTCAACAGTATTGTTGTTGCGCGATTGGTTCGCGAGATCGGTCAATAAGCGTTTGGTTAACCTCTTTAAAACGACCTCTAGTTGTTGTTAAAGACGTTTTTGACGATAGTGTTTTGGATATATCTTGGAGCAGCAATGGCTTATATTTATTGGCTTGTTCATGGGATGGAAGTGTTGTCTGTATTATATTTACTTCTGAAGAAATTGGTGTTCCACTTTCAACAGCAGAAAAGGTGATAAAAAAATTATAAATTTTCTTATCTCATTTTCAAAGGTTTTAAATTTAGCATTCCTTTTAGGGCCACTTTTACCATCTTCATGTTCAGCTTACCAGAAGATTCTTGCCAAAATATAGCTGTTAACCTATCTCATTAGTAAACTGCTGCATTTACCTATCAGATGAATTTAATAAGTGGTGGTAAAAGTGGCCCCTAAGTCAAATAATTATTACATTCAAATTTATTACATTTATGATAAAAAGATTACGATTTTCTTTTATTGTACTTTATAGAACTCTTTGTATGAAAGAATGTATGGTAAATCTCTTCAAAGAAATTTGCTCAATCAAAGTTTTTCTGGTAGTCAAATTATTGAAAATCCAGAAATATTATGTGCCATGGAAGAGGTGAATACTGCTGAAAGAAGATCACAGGAAGTACCAATGGAAGAAGATGAAGCACCGATATTTGTAAATACTCCCATACAAGAAGAATTAAACACCAGTAGTGTTTTAGTCCCAGTAAATCAACAAGTTGAAACTAGATTACCTAGTGGAAAACGTCGAATAACACCAATGTTTTTAAAACCAGCACCGTCCACAGCAGTAGCTTCAAAGTAATGTAATTAAAATATGATGATTTAAATTAAGTTTTTTTTATTATTTAGGGAAACAACTGAAGCTCCTACTATAAATGAAACTTCACAGTTCAGTAGTTCATCGCCTTCTAAAAGTAAGATTGTTGTTGTTCAAGAAAGTTCAATGGAAAAACCGAGTCAACCTTTACAAAAAAGGTATAAAGCATTCTTGAAAATGTTTTTATTTAATTTTAAAAATATATTATTCATTGTTAGTGAAACCGCGATTGTAAATAAAGTAATGTCGTCATGTCCGCCAGGGATGCAAATTAATCAATTATTGTGTTCAGAAGTGCCTGGTGATCTTCCAATTGTTAAATTTATTGATCTCATGGAACCTTTAAAAATGCCTGCAGGAAAATCTGTCATGAAACGAAGTAGTAAAATGAAGATACAGGTAAGAAATTGAACTTGCATGATGAACGATATAGTCTTTTAAAAACTTAATTTTTAGGTAACTAATTCTTGCCAATCAGTTTCAAAAGGGACCTTATCTAGACTGGAAGTTTTTAAAAACGAAGAAGATAAACAGCCAATTTGGGAAACTTACATAGGTAATTATTCCATAACAATTCTCAGGTCGGTATACTAAAGCATTTGAATCATGAAACACTAAAATTATATTGGTTACGCCAATGTTGATTATTTAGTCTGATTTATCCGAAACGTCAAATAGTGTTTCATAGACGCCCGCCATAACCCGGAAAATTCTACTTTCAGTTTTATTTGTAATAAAACCGGGTGTGAAAGCCAACGAACTTATATTTTTGACACTGACTCTATATATGTTTCGATATTATTACTTCTTTCGGTGTCAATTTCAACTTTTATCTATAGGGTAAAATGAGTAGTGTTCATCAAGTTGTTTCAGTTTCTAACTGGTTGGAAAACGATATGGTTTATATTTCGTACAAAAAATGATCTACTATTACGCAATTGAAATCTTTGTTACTTTTGATTTTTATTTAATATAACTGTAGCATATGATGAACTTAACATCCACGTTCTAAATGTGTTTATCCATAATGTTCATGACATTGTTCACATTTACGCTTGATATGAAACTATTACAGCAAGAACTATACAAATTTTTAGATACTAGAAACTAGAAGGATCTGGATGTATCTAGAAACATCTTAAATGTCTAAGAAATGAAAGTTATATTATAACTTACAGTGTATTTTAAGTAAAAAATAAAATATAATAACGTGTTTTCCATTAAGAGTTGTTATTAATATAACGATTTTTTACTGATCATATTATTATTACAACATACAGTATGTCCCCGGATCGAGTTACAAAGAGGAAAAAAAAATTTATTACTGATTTTTTAAACTTATCTCAGCACAAATAATGCGTCGGATATGTTCAAACCACTAAATCGGACGAACTTTATTATTCCCATTTTTATATAAAAATTATACTTTTTCTAAATTAAAAATTTTTCAAGTTCAATTTACGATATGTAACCATAAAAACCAATAAAATAAAATAAAAGTTACAACTTATGTTAGTGAAAAATGTATATTTTTCAAATTTCCACTCAGATTACAACACTCGCTCGCTTCGCTCGCTCGTGTTGCAACTTCATCTTCGTGGGTAACAGCCGCCATTATACGCTTGTTGAATAATATACTATTAAATGTAAATTTATGTAATAACTGTGAGTAATAAATATTATTTATTTGTAAGTGAACAAATCCTCATTCAAACAAATGCCCTCCTAATTCGGCACACATTTGAAGACGAGTTCTAAATTCTTTATAAGAATTACGAATTTCCGCCACTGGTAGAGTATTCTGCTGGCCATCAAATAGGACCATTTCGTTCAATCCATTTTTGACGAAATTGTAAATTTAACCATTTGGCACAATGTGTGAATGGTAAGCTGGGCAACTGTATTGCTGAAAGTACATTGACCGTATAAAATTTAAGGGTAGGGTAAACGCACCAGTGTTTGACCTGTTAAGGAATTTTAATGTCAGTGTTTGACCGAGCCATATTATTTTTCTTGTAGATCCCTCTGCCTTTACATAAAATGATCAAAATATGATCAAATACACATCTGATTCATTTAAAGTTACTTACCCTACATATAAAATATAACATCATGAAGTAATATTTTTTTAAAATTAAAAAGGAAAACGGTATTTCGCATTTAGTGTTTGACCACTTTGATTACATTAACAATAATATCTTGTCTTTGACCTTAAAACCGTCAATTTTTGACCTATTCTTAATATAATATTCATTTTCATTATTTTTCCATACTATTTTGTTCACAAAAAAATGTTTATATTTTTTGACTCTTTAAGAACAACTTTTAAAACAGGAGCAAAATGCTCTTGACTTAACTTTTCATCCAAATTTTGTGTTTTCCAACTGGGTTTTTGTAACAGGAAACCCCCTATCTGTTGAATGAAACAACCATTCAACCAGCACTTTTTCTTCATCAGTATTTAAAAATGTTGGTGGGCCCATTTTTCTCTGCACTAGTGTTTTTCCTTTTTCTTTATAAATAAGATTTTACTTTGGAACGTTAAACATCTTGGCTGCTTCTTCATAAGACCACTACTTCTTACATCGAGAGTGTTTTGAAGATCTTCTTCACTATTTTTAAACTTAGGCTTCGTTGTCATATTGGTACTGAAACAATGTTAACCTGATTCATGTTTGCTAAATTTTCAATTTTTTGATAATTGACCAATATAAGAGTCAGCGTTTGACCAACCTTTTATCCTTTTAATTTTACAGATTCATTATTGCTTAAGTGCGGTCAATTACTTTTATTGTTATAAAAAAGGTTTAAAAAAATAGAAAAGACTCAAACATTTACACTTATATTTATATTACGCTTAAATATTTATAAAATTTAAAATCGATAAAAAACTCAGTTTTGAATGTTTGTGTCCTATAAATGACCAAAAGAGGAACCAGTAATTGACCGCATATTTAAACTGATTGTATCTTATTTTTAAAGTATAAAAGTTTTGGTCAAATACTAAACAACTTAAACGGGAAAATATGAAGTTTTAAAAACAGGTATTACACATTTTTCCACTTTATTAATCAAATATAAATCCTTGTGAGATTATAAAACAACCAATTTCTAGTATTTGACCGTTTGGTCAAACACTAATTTTTAATTAAATTTAGAACTACCAGTCATTGACCGGCTTTATTTCAACAAATAATTAATTAAAGCGGTATTTTTTTAATATAACCAATAGAAAACATTATTAGATCACTGGCAAACAAAAAAAAAACATCATACATGCAAAAACGGCTGAATAGTACTACCCTGTTTGGGTGAATTTCTAAACATAAAAATTATGCTTTTTAGCACGATGCGAATAGACCGGCAGTTAGCGCGAAATTAAACAACAAAAACTGAAGAACGTCGTGGACTTTTTGTGTACTAGGGGGTGAAGAGGAGACTGGTGGCTATTTATGGATATATTTATATTTTTTTAGATATTCCTTGGATCCTTATTTTTTAAATTTTTTTACAAAAACGGTCAAACACTGACCAACGGTCAATTACTGGTGTTTTACCCTAATTGGATTTACATCGCTCCAATAACGACAATGCTGGGAAGAAACAATGTCATTTGTTGAAAAACTATCTGAAAAGCAGCGTCTTCCTCATTTAGTCTCTTTGTCTGCCTCTTGATGGATAATAAAGAACCCGTTTCCAAAAATTTTTTCATAAGTTTACGAGCCCCAACATGAGATATTTTTGTGTCTGGATATTTTTGCTGGAATTTTTGTATAACAACACGAAAACAAGATTCACTAGTACCATAGCACAGTACTAAATAAATTCTCTCTTTCACGGTTAGCATCGCATAAAAAGACTTAATCTCACCAACATAAGTTGTAACTTTTATGGTTTCTATGGTTACATATCATAAATTGAACTTGAAAAATTTTCAATTTAGAAAAAAGTCCACTGGAATAACAACACTAAACAAAACTGGAATAATTAGTTAACTTTTATAGTTAGAGTATAAAACTCATGCGATTTAGTAATTTGAACATATGCGACGCATTATTTATGCTGAGATAAATTTCAAAAATCGGTAACAAAAATTTTTTTCCTCTTTGTAACTCGATCCGGGGACATACTGTAGAGTTCAATCTCTACCATTAATTGTGAAATATAATATCACCTGGCAAATGTCCAGCGCCCCTATTGCTCTTGCAAAAAGTCATTCCGTTTAGAAAATTTTTCATCACAGTTTCGCACATGTCTGAGACGTTCGTTTTAATGTACTAACGCCCCCGCCTTATCTGCTACATGGCGTAAAAGACAGAAAACAAATCCCCCGCACGGTCGCTTTAGTAATGTTAAAAAATTTATTACCTTATTCATATAAGGTAATATAAAATTTCTGTGGAAACTACCTTAATAAAGACAACCTTAATAAAATTAATAGAAACCATCAATATTTTTTTTTCTTGCAATTGAATCCTGGATATAACGGCGGCTCTATGAGACGTAAACAATAGAGTTGACTTCCGCAGAAATACCCTGAAGGGTGGTCCAGGAGAAGAGAGGGGGGGGGGGTTAGTGGACAGCAGGGGCTAATTAATTGTAGTCCCACACTCCCGGCCGAAATACGATTTTTCCGACTCACGAACTATAGGCGCCATCAGTAGGCCGGGGTGCCGAAGGCATTTTCCCCTCCTCTGCGAAAAAAAAAAAAAGAAAAAATATATATATATATATACGAGCCCTAACAACTATATATTGGGACATAATAGAATTTATATGTAATTAACAACAATTAAACAGATTATTTTGTTTTAATACATTTTTAAAATTAATATCATTCAATTAGACAATTAACAACAATTTTATCTTATGAACAACACAAAAACAAAATACATATCCTATTACTTCTAATTAAACTAGAAAAATGTAAATTTTGCCTGACAACTAAATATTGGGACATTGCACGATTTTGTATTTCTAATATGGAATAACATCGCCCTTAGATTTTATAACCGCTTGACTTCGGTTGGGCATTGAATTCACTAAGGTTCTACACTGTTCAGGAGTAAATCCATCCCAAATTTGCTTTATTTTGGCTTTAATTATTATTATTTAAGTTCTGGCAATGTCCGTTGTGGGTTGTTCCTCAAAGTTTGTTTTATTTTGTGCCACACTGTTTCAATTACATTCAGATCTGGACTGTTGGTAGGCCAATACAGGACATTAATATTTTGATCGCCAACCACTTTTTTGTAGTTTTGGCCGTATGACAAGCCACGCCATCCTGCTGAAATATGTAATTTTCGCCAACATTTAACTGCACGATACTTGGTAGTATGCTGTTTTGTATTATTTGTTGATATTTTGCGGCGTTCACGGTGCTATCAATAAATTCAAAGCATCGTTATCCTGAAGCTGTCATACCAAATGATTACTCCCTTCGGAAATTTTACACAACGTTTTAAACAATCTTTATGAAATGCGTCATGTTTATTGCAAATTTCGATTTATCGCTGAATATTATCCTGGAAAAGTCTTCTGCTGACTTCTCTCATG